TTCTAATAAGTTTTTCGTGGGGGACTCTGTCGAAGGATTTGCTAAAGTCGAGATATACCACATCATAATTGTGCCCCACGTCCACCGATTCGAAAACTGATGAAAAGAATGTTAATAGATTAGTTAGGCAAGAACGTCCGCTTGTGAAGCCATGCTGGGAATCATTGATCAATCGGTGCTTCTCCAGGTGATTTCGAATAGAGTTTGAAATGATTGCTTCCAGTAATTTGCCTACTATTGATGTTAGACTGATTGGGCGGTAGTTAGAGGATAGTGATCTATCCCCTTCTTGAAAATCGGTATTACATTCGCTATCCTCCAGGATTCTGGTACTACACCTGTTTTTAAGGACATGTTAAACAACTTTGCTAAGGGCATACTAAGCTCTTCCTTACATTCCTTTAATACTCTGGCAAATATCTCATCGGGACCAGGTGACTTATTAGGCTTTAGTTTGTCTATTTGCTTACTAACATCGTTACTAGTCACTACTATCTCACTTAATTTGTTTTCTTCACTATCTCTGAATAGAGTCGGTGCCTCGGGTATCATGTTTAGATTTTCGGTGGTGAAAACTGTTGAAAAATATTTATTCAAATTATTGCTCATTTCTCCGTCGTTATCAGTCAGCTCGCCGGAGTCTGACCGTATTGGTCCAATCTTTTCTCGTGTTTTAGTTTGATACATTTGGTAGAATCCTTTGGGGTTTGTCTTCGCCTCTCTTGCTATCCTTACCTCATTATTCCTCTTTGCTTTCCTTATCTCGGTTTTAACTCTACTCGCCAATACCCTATAATAGTCCCGGAGGTGAATTTCGCCACGATTTATCCTTCTACCTATAGCCTTCCTTTGGCCAATGATGTTCTTTAAATAATTATTTATCCATTTAGGGTCATTGTTGTCTGATCTGAGTTTTTTGTATGGTATGTTCTGCCTTTGTGCATTAAGTAACTCACTATTTAAATTATCGTGGAACTCGGCAATCTCAGATCTCGTTATCAGGTCGGTGTCATCTGTCAGGTTCACGGCCAAGCGCGACACCCCCTCTCTCAGCTGCCTCTTTAAACTGTCAAAGTTTGCCCTTCTGAAATCTGGTACTTTAGTGGAATTTTCCTTACGTCTGCCCTGAAAATCTAACTGGAATCGAATTTCTTTGTGATCGCTGTTTGCAAGTTCGTTCCCTACCTCGACATTGCTAATGAGGTTTTCTCTGTTCGTCAGAACTAATTCCAGTATATTATTACCCCGTGTGGGTTCGGTTATATGTTGACTTAGGAAACAGTCCTGGATCGTCTCGAGAAAATCCTCTGATTCCGAGTTACCCGTAAGGACAGTCCAATCTATTTGGCCAAGGTTAAAGTCGCCTACTATACAGACTTTGTTGTGTATGGAAGCCCTGCGCATTTCATCCCAGATAAGTCGCTCATTGACGCTATCAAGATTGGGGGGTCTATATATTACCCCTGTGATTAATTTTTCCCGACCGTCGCTTAATTCTATCCAAATTGTTTCTGTATTCCTCTGTTTTTATTTCCTTATTTATTTCACACTTCAGATTATCCCTAACATAGATTGCTACTCCGCCTCCTTTCCTGGTCTTTATTTTAAGAAAATTATTGGACAAAGGAAGGATATAAGTAAGAGTCTAAAACGTGGTGAAGTTTACCTCGGAGATTATTATAGGGTATTGGCCAGTAGGGTCAAATCTGAGGTAAGAAAAGCAAAGCGGATTATTGAACTGAAGGTAGCAAGGGAAGCGAAGTCAAAGGGATTCTTTCAAATTTATCAAAATAAATCGATGAAAGATTGGACCAATACAGTTAGATACCGGAGAGCTAACCGATTACGACGGAAAAAGAGAACTAATCTGAAGTTATTTTCCAACTGTTTATCACCGAAAATTTATACAGGATACCCGAGGCGCCGATTATATACCGAGATAACGAATAAATATATTAAACGAAATAGTAGCAACTAGTAACGATAGGCTAAAGCTTAATAAGTTACCAACTCCAGACGAGATACTTAAGGAAGTGCTTAGTATGCCCTTAGCAAATTTGTTCAACAGGACATTAAAAGCGGGTGTAGGGCCAGAATCCTGGAGAATAGCGAATTTAATACCGATTTTCAATAAGGAAGACAAGTCACTATCCTCTAACTATCGTCCAACCAGTTTACCTTCAATTGTAGGCAAATTACTGGAAGCAATAATTTCAAACTATTCGAAATCACCTGCAGGAACAAGTTTATCAAAGATTCCCTACATGGCTTCACAAGAGGGCGTTCACGTCTATCTATTAACATTCTTTTCTGCCGTTTTCTAATCGGTGGACGACGAGTATGATTGGATACATCTCTGCTTTAACAAAGCCTTGACACTACCCCACGAAAGACTAATAGAACAAGTGGAGGATGAAGGCATTGGAGAAGATATTTGTAATGGATTAAGGCACGGTTACAGGACAGGAAACCTGGAAGCATTATCGGTACTAAATCCGATTTGAGTAACGTCATTAGCGTAGTACCCGAAGTATCGGTACTTGGATCATTACTATATACAAAAACGACAGATGGAGCCGACTACACTAAAATAGGACGCATAAATAAATCTGACGTGGACTCTGCAAAACTACAAGACGTTTAAAAAAATTTTGCGAACGATCATAAAAAATGGCAGAGGAAATTTAATGTGAAGAAATGTAAAGTACTTAGTCTAGGAGATGAAGCCGGATAACAACGAACGTTTGAGATATCAGATGGATTTAAGAGTAATTAGTAGGGATTTTAAATCTAGTAAACGGTGTGCATTTGCTCGAAACAAGGCTAACAAAGTACTCGGGTTCGAACAAAGGAGTGTTAGTTACAAGACTAGCGAGGTCACCCTAAAACTATGTTTTGCGAACTCTCGCTTTGATTACGCACTTCAGGTCACCGTACTACAGAATGGATATAGAATCCCTAAAAGAATTCGAAGAAGATTGAGAGGACTAATCCCGGGCATTAGGAACCTTGAGTACAGACACATTAAGTCATCTTAATCTGCACTCCCTCGAGAAACGTAGAGCAGGATGCGATATGATCAGGGGTGTATAAATGGAAGTCAGGGCCCAACAAAGTTGATATAACCAGAAGCGAACTCTAATGGTTTAAAATTTAAATTTAGCCGCGATATAGGTCAAAAATGGTTTCGAAACCGTAGTGGAAGAAGTTGTCACACCAACTCGAAACGCTGGATAGCTTCGAAAGTGGTTGGCTGAATATATGAGTGATAGGGGTGGGGTGTATATTCACAAGGAAACGTAAGAGGTGGAACTGTTAAAGGGAAATGAAGAGAAACTAAAAGGATATCACGATCAGAACACAGGAGGTTCTTAAGAAAATAATTAAAAGGAGACAAAATCTACAGGGCCAGATGAAATTTTCCCTCTAGTTTTAAAAGTGCAAGGAGCAGATTAGCGGACCCCACGTAATTTTTTTTTTTTACAAAATCATTACACACGGGCAAACGTAGTACTCGTATTCAGAAAGGACGACAGAGCATCAGCGCCAAATTACCGGTCGATTAGCTTTACGTTGGTAGCGGGGAAATTTATTTAATCAATTATAGCAAATTGCATCCGAGCGCATTTGGAGAAAAACATGAAAGCTACGACTCTCAACATGGATTTACAGAGAAAATCTTGTCCAACAAATCTGAGGACCAAGTCGAGTTAATGAGGTAGTAGATAATGACGAAAATTGCGAGGGTATTTAAAGACTTTAGCAAAGCATTTGACAGGAGTATCGCATCAGTCTTTTCCGAGAAAAGTTAAGGCTCATGGTATCGAAAGGAAAGTAATAAATTTGATAAATTCATGGCTCACCGATAGAAGAGGGTCATCGTAGAGCGTCTTAAATCCGAGTGGGGCTGGGTAACTAGTGGGGTTCCCCAGGGGAGAGTACAGGACCCACTCTTGTTCATAATCTACATAAGCGATCTAGATACTGGGCTCAGTAGTGACATTCGCAAGTTTGCAGGACACCAAAATAGGGCGGCCGATAAATTCAGGGCAGGATGCAAATGCACTACAGGAGGATTTAAATAAACTGCAGGAGTCGTCAGAAAATGGCAAATGAAATTCAACACCAGCATACTTAATATTGGAAGAACAAATACGGTCAATGTATACAACCTTAACATCTACCTAGAGAAGTCGACATTGGGGTACTTTCAAGCTCGGACCTTCGGATTAGAAAACAGTGCGTTAATGTTCGAAATAAGGCAAACAGTATTAGGTTTTATATCTATAATCTTAATAAATAAGAGTGCAGAGGTCATATTGCAATTATATCTTGCGCTAGTCAAGCTCCCCTGTTATGCGGTTCAGTTCTGGTGCCCTTATTATAGAATGGATATCAATTCACTGGAGTCGGTGCAGCAAAGAATGAAAAAAAGGACTCCAGGACATGGAAACCTTCCATATGAAGCTAGATTAAAGGAACTAAGCCAGCATTCCCTAGAAAGACGAAGAGTGCGGGGATGATATGATGGGTGAAAGGAATATATTCCCCTTTTGCACTCCCTGAACTTTACAGCAAATTAAATCATAATTTTTTAACGACGTAATAAAAGCTTTAGCGTCAATTGATAACGAGTTTCATTAGATTATAGATTCAGGAAGCTATATCGTCTACTTTGGTTTATCAATATTAAATTATTCAAAGACTTAATCCAGATTTGTCGTCCAAGTATTTAAATAGCTACTGTATTATCAAAAGTAATATCACAACTCCGTTTAATTCACCGGTTTATAGTTTTTATACAGGACAACAGATCAAGAAATAAGACAATACTATATAGACCACACCTGTGTGTTTTCCAAAATTGACTTAAAAGTTAGGTACCAGATTAAATAATATCCATTTCATTACTTTGGTGGCCCAAGATTAATGGCTACCAAGTATTAACGCGTCTTAAAATCCATCCTCTAATAGTTGAACAGTCCGTAGTTACAACTTACCGGCAATTCCACTCTGGGCAACATTCTCCTAGAGGAACAATCTCACGACAACTGGGGTGAGGTGCAGAACCCAGGTTACAGTTTTCACGCGAGGTTTTTATCCCATCTTGCAGACAGACGTGGGTGGTGCAGGGGTCAGTCTTCCACACTTCGTAAAGCGGATGTTGCTTGCCAGTGTGGTCAACGCAGACACTAAAACAAGTCAAGACACGCCAACCTCGTTAACCTCTCCTTCCAACTTACTACTAGGAGCACGTCAGTTACAGAGGAGCAATATATTTAGTAAAATCTCCAAGAGATTAAGGACTTAAATTTAGATGGAACCGCTTCCATTTAAGAGTTCAAAGATTAGGGGGTACAGAAAGATTTGAAGTCCATACTATAACGGAAGTACTTCCAGCATACCTGCAGTTCCATTTTGGGCAACACTCTCCCTTCGGTGTATATTCAGGGCAGCCAGGAGGTGGTCGAGTGACTTCACACTGTATAGTTTGAGCTTTTATTCCTTCCTTGGTACACATTAACATCAAGCAAGGATCAATCGTGCTCCACTTTTCCCCCCGTTCATGGTAGTTGCCGTGTGCGTCCAAGCAGCCACTGATGAAAAAAAAAACACTTTGCAGAATATCTACCAAGGGATAGACATTAATCAATTTTATTTTACAGCAGTTTTAAGTTAAATTATTTAAATTGGATACTGGTGTCCTATAGATTGCCTTCCATCACTATTATAAGATTTAGGCGTGGTGACATTCAAAACAACGTCGACAATACAGTTAGCACTGTCCAAACTTCAAGGTTCCCAAGAAATAGATTTGCCATCAGTAGTGGCACAATACACCTTAATAAAAATTAAATTGGATACATTCATAGATTTTCATCGACAACTCTTTTACAATTAATGATCCGCACAAACCTTGCTCATATCTATTGCACTATGCATCTCATTTCCAACTCACCTGCACTTCCATTCAGGACAACATTCTCCTGAAGGAGAAATTCTTAAGCAACTAGGATGTGGTGCAGGTCCCAGGTCACAGTCTTCATGGGTTGTCTGGATACCAGTCTCCATACACAGGTGTGTGGCGCAGGGGTCAGTCTTCCAGACATCATAGAGTGGACGGTATGAACCAGTATGGTCCACACACCCACTAAAAATTAACAAGCAATTACCATTAGAATCACAAATTTCTTTTTTATACATAAATTTCACAATTGGAAAAGAATTTTAGAGAATTGCCAAATTTCTCACCTGCAGTTCCATTTAGGACAACATTCTCCCTCAGGGATGTATTCAGAGCAGCCAGTACGAGGTGGACTTGCAGAGTCACAATATACGCGCTTCAGAGTTATTCCATCTTTCTCGCAGAAGAATACTAAACAAGGATCTCCAGTGCCCCACTCATGGCCTAGCTCATGATAGTTGCCATCTGCATCAAAACATCCCCTGCAGGAAGTAAAAATGGCAAAATGAAATGCTCAAGATTAGAAGCGCTAGTTCAGTTACCTTGTGTAGAAGTCGCTTTGTTTTTCCTACGGGGATTATTTTCTTCCCTTCGGACTGGTTTTCTTTCCAAGAGCAGATTACATGTGATCAATGACGATAGGAATGGTGAAAAATGAATTTTTCAAAGTCTCTTCAACCCTAAACCCTTTCAAGTAAACCTGTAGGAGGAAGTCTACATGTCAAAGTAAATAATATTTCTTAGAGTATACTGTCATTTTCCATTTTGTTTCATCTATTCGAGATAACGGATATTATATAAAAAATTGCTTCACGACTTTAGCAAAAACAGCCCTTTAACGTTAGGAAAGGGGGGTGATTTGTTATTAGAGACAAAGAAAAATCAGGACAATTCCGCAAGTGACTTTAATTCAGCTGACAAATTAACTATTTCCGATCATAGGAATAAAGGAAAGAAACTCGCCTGCACTTCCAGTCCTGGCAACATTCTCCTGGGGGTGTAATCTTGTAACAACTTGGATGAGGTGGTGGTCCCAGGTCACACTGTTCGCGGGTAGTCTGGATGCCGTTCTTTGTACAGAAGTGCGTCGTGCAGGTGTCACTCTTCCAGAGGTCATACAGTGGATGTCGCGTCCCGGTATTATCAACACAATCACTGAAAGTCAAACGTCAATATTAACAAATATTTTAGGTTTTCCAATTTTATCATTAATTCGTAGCTATCGTAGGTTACTTCTTAAATTGGATTTTAACTTTCACCCCACCTGCAGTTCCATTGTGGACAACATTTTCCCGCAGGGGTGTACTCTGAACATCCAACATGTGGCGGCTTCGTGTCCTCACACCGCACATACTTTAGTATTATTCCATCCACAGTACAGACAAATACTAAACAAGGGTCCCCAGCGCTCCACTCATGGCCCAGGGGATGGAAGCGGCCACCCTGGTCAAAGCAGCCCCTGGAAGAAAGATTAAGGATTTGGTTCAAGAAATATCTCTGCAATAACTAGTGGGTTTTGTAGAGTCCTTCACTAACCCGTTTACAGGGACTCTTCAGGTTTGTGTAGTGTGGCAGAGCGGTGTTCACATTCGACAGAAGGAAACTTCATAGTAAACTTTTAATGGTACGTTATAAAAATATTCAAACATCTCAAAGATAATGATGCGGAATGTTTTTATGACGACCCCCTGTAAACGCACTACTGAAGGGCACTGTACTTTTAACGGATGTTAAGCTGGTTACGATATCTCCAACTTTTGACAAGACCACACTAAAAATCGAGTCACTTTACTTTTATACTCTTAATATAGAACGTGAGAAGAGAATATCTTAGTCCCCAGCTGAGGTTTCACCTTGACCGCACGGCTAGAATTTCCCATCAGATCTTTGACTTTACAGCACCAAGCTCCTTCACAATCCGTTTAGAATATAATTTCACAATATATTTGCTTAAGTAATTTTAAAGTCCTAGCAAAATCTATAAAGGACACCTTTATCACAGACTCGTATCCTCGCTTATCAATTCATCGCCGAGAGAATACTAAAAATTTCCTGCTGTACTTTGAAGTCTCCGCACAAGTACGAAAAAACTCACCTGCACTTCCACTCTGGACAGCATTTTCCAGGAGGAGTAACTTTCTCACAGCTAGGATGGGGTGAATATCCTAGGTCACAAGGTTCTCGTGTGGTCTGGATACCATTCCTCGTACATAGATTTGTGGTACAGGGGTCAGTCTTCCATACATGGTGTAGTGGATGGCGTGTACCAATTTGATCAACACACTCACTGGAATAGTTTATAGATTAAACAACATTGTATATCGGCAGCTATCCGAGTGTTTAAGCACATGGAGTATTTTTACAGTGTCTAAAGGCCATGATAGCCTGTTTCTATGGCCTAATTAGCAACATTTTTTCCCCCAACACGAAATAAAGTGTCACCCTTACATCAAATAAAGGTCTAAAAAGAAAAGCCTTACCATTTGCACGGAAATTAATTACATGGAAAACCAATTTATTATATGAAAACCAATTCATTACAGAACTATGCTCTCAACTTGGTCGGAGAGAAGTGAAAAGCAGTACAGCTAAGCGAAGAACGTGGAAAATTAATCTATATATGGTTTAAAATGGATGCAGGGACAATCCAATGTACAGCAGTTATGGCGGAGAAGTTCGGGCGAGCTCTGTTGGAAATTATTAAGCAATAATCCCGCACTCTTTAGTTTTTAATTTTAGTTGGGAAGCTACCAGCTTATGTACCTGCAATTCCACTGTGGACAACATTCTCCTTCTGGTATGTAAAACTGACAACCAGGACGCGGTGGAGACGGGTCCTCACAATTCACACGCCTCATCTTTATGCCACCTTCAGTACACACGAAGATTATGCATGGATCTTCTCCGACCCATTGATGGCCTACAGCATGGTAAGCGCCTTCATGGTCTACACAGCCACTACAAAATTCCAAATATTAGTTTATAATAATTTTTTTGGGGGGGGGGGGGCGCTAAAAGTTCAGTTTGCACCGGAACCCCTGAGATTCAAAATGTATAAGACCGGAAACCTAGTAAGATTTTGCTAAATGACTACATTTCATTTAAAATTATAGGATCAAAATTCTAATAAATCCAGTAGTACTTTGTGGCCATAGGAAAAGGGATCCTAAGAATCTGGAAATCACAATCAGTGAAGAGTTAGAACCTTTTAAGAAAAACTTACTGCAATTCAGAAAATTTTACTTTCTCTATTACAAGAAACTAACACGTCTTACCTACAATTCCATTCTGGACAACATTCACCCACTGGAGTGAACTTGACACAGGTAGGATGTATTGGGTCACCTAGGAAACAATCTGTGATCCGGGTCATTATTCCTTCTACCGTGCAGGTGTGGTAGATGCAGGGGTGGGAGTACCAGGAGGTACCCAGGTCGTGGTCCTCTCCATTTTCGTCAACACAACCACTGAAGAGAAACATGTAGGTATCCATTATATTATACTCGACACCGGTATACTGGCCGACTACATACCACCTAATTGAAAATTATTTAAGCTAATTTCAGAACGCACGATTAGATTACACTGCCTTGTTATATACAGTATACTTGATTATACATAATACCAGACCTATTGAAATTTCCTTCATTCGATTTCACTTTAATCCAGAACAAATTTAAAGTCTCCACTTCACATAAGAGCGCCCGTTTTGAACATTTTTATTCTTTCCAAAAATTCTAATTCACCCGTATAAATTTTATAAAGTTGCCCTATGATCTTTCGAAGAGTCAAGTACAGTTTAACTAACTTCAGTATTAGTTTATTGCCCCAGGAAGTGAAAACTTCAAACTCGGCATAACTGATCCAGTCGGGTCTACAGACTTAAAATCGACAAGATAATTTAATTACAGTTATAAGATTTCTATTTAGTATCAATAACTTAAACCTTTGTAAAAAATTATAGAAATTCTTCAATCAACGTTTGATCGTCAATACTCACGTTGTACAGTTCCATGTAGGGCAACAAGGGCCGGCGATTTTAACACAATTTTTGTGCGGGGGGTTAGGGCAGATTATCGGTCGCGTCAGGCAGGTCACCTTACCATTACTACACACACACTCGTGACACTCGTCTGGAGACCACTTTGAACCCTCAACCTGTAGCAGCCCAGTGTCGTCCACACAAGAGTATTCCAGGCAGTCATCACACCAGGGATCTTCTGCAACACGTTGTAAGAATCTTGCAAGACAAATATATTAATCTAGTGTAACGGTTACATTTAAAGGTTTATACCAGCACCGTGAACATTTCTTACGTAGATAACGAAAGACGATGTCCATAAGTCTACTTTTAAAAGTTTCAGGGCAGTCTTGCAGCTCACCAAGTCGCGTTAGGCGTCGAATCTTCCCAGAGTTTATCCTTAAGGTTGCCCAACCTCCTAGTAGCTTTTGAAGTCACTTAATCATCAAGAGTCAGTTCGGGCCAGAAGACTTGCGGTTTTAACTAGACAAACCAGTTTCCAAGCTAAGCACGACTGGACAACTAAGGAAATTAAATAAATTTTGAAGTTCTCCGCAAATTCATGTAACAGCCTTCGTAAGAATGGAGGAAACTCCAGCAGTTATTGGCCCATACTAAACCGTTTACACCCAAATCCAATTTGTCTAAACTATATTTGAAGCTACTCAGCGTGTTTGAGTTTGATAAATTAGGTTCACATTTTTTACTCTACCAAAGATCTTTTTACTCAACTACCACCTAATTTTAAATTTGTCCAATCTAAAACCATTACCAAGAGTTCGCTCCCGATTGGATAGTTAAATTAACTGTCAAGTCACACGAGAAACAAATTCCCATTTATACACCTCTGATCATACCGCCCCTCACCTAGTATCTGGAAGGAAATACAAATAGTTTTATCTCTATACTCAAGGTCCTAATGCCCGGGATTAATCTCATCATCTTCCGAATACTTTTTAGACATTTGACATCCATTCTGTCGTACAAGGACTAATTGAACCGCGTAATCCAGCGAAGTCTCACAAGCACACGCGAGTTTCAGGATAACCTCACTTGCCCTAACTTTTTTTTCCTGCTTTCATTAAGTTCGATACAATAATTTAACCGCTTTTACGACCTTTCAACACGGACAGTAACAACATTCCAATAATCTTAAAACCTATATTAGTTTATTGCTGAAGTCACTGCTCAGTGTCGGTAGCATAAATTCCTAGAATACACATACTAACTCGAGCACAGGTGATCTTGGAACTTTACAGGTAAAACAACAGCCGTGAGGAAGTGACTGGTGGGAGACACCCTTGCTGCACACACCAGCTTCATACACAGCTCTGGAAACTCTTCCAACATGCTTCCCCACTCCACCATCATGCCGTTGTAGCAGCAGCCTGAAAAAGATTAGACAAAACCAAATGTGAAGTCGGGGGCAATAGCAAGATAGCCGATGTACAATGATTATATCCACTTTCTCCTAGTCCGTATCTGGACCATTCTCCATGTATAGAACAAAACAATGTGCATAGACACCTCTCACGCATGTGTGAACAACGAGTGCGGCAAGACACATTACGTCACTCCTGTACTCACGCCGTTGCGAACAAGTGACTCTGTATTATGGACAGAATTAAAAGAATTTTAAAGAATCAAACATTAAATGCCATAATATGACCACTGGGGTTAGTTATACAAACCCTTTGTGAACTCGCATCCCTCGGAGCTACCGCTCACAGGATGAGTATGGGGTGCACAATAATGTACTCACCAAATGGCCAAATTAAAATTAATAAAGAGCCGTAGTTAATGGTAGACAAGTCCAATATTCAATACTTCCCGAGAAATATTTATTAATTTAGAGATTCATTCATAAAGCTACACCAACGTAAACTACAGAATGTAATGTATTAATTATTGTGGATTCAAAGAAGAGGTTTACACCATAATTAGCAAGCAAAAATTTACGAGACTTCAATTTCGTATAGTTACTAAATATTACTCCTCTTTGTATTCTAACATTATTAAATTAGTTAATGACGAAGAGGCAGTAAATCGTCAATTGCCCTTTTCGATCACTTAGGGAAAAAGTTCTAGGTTTTAAAGCCTAGAATTCCAGGACCCCAACCATTTGAAGTTTAATTAAACAATTATCTGTACACTCACCTCTAGACACCTGTTCACACAATGGACAACAGCCATGGTCGATGCAACATTGGTTAAACACCTCCCAGTAGTGCCAGAAACGACAGCATGACCAAGCATTATCGCAGTCTTTTCTTATTATTACGTTACCTGAAGTTAAAAGGTTAAGCAAATTCATATAGGTGGTAAAACAAATACCAACTCTTGTAACAATTTAATTACGATATATAATAACACCGTTTAACAAATAACGTCCATAAATATTGGGTTTCTTATACCTGGGATAGGGGTTGGGCAACTCTTGGGGAAACAGCTTTTCTTGTCACAACATTCATTGAACCTTGTTGAGAACATTGGATACTCACAACACTCTTCTGGGTTTACACAGCGTTTACCGAAACTCAGAGACGTGTTAAGTGTATCTGAAGTAAGAGATTGAGAAAAAATGTCAAGTCCTACATTGATTAATATTCCCCTTGTCTAGGGCCTTATATTAAGGGCCTTAATTTAAAATGGACTTCCATACCTAAATACCATTTATGTGTATACGCATGGCGTTGTTATATTAATAACGTTTTAATATTTAGATAATTTATTATAAATCTAAAGGTGACTTTTGGACATAAAGGGAACCTAAGGAAAGTGTTCCAGTCAATTGCCTGGACACTTAAACCATTCAAGCACTCATCGTCCATAATGTTTCCCACTCATACCTTAACGGATTAGCTTCAACCTAACCTAACCTAACCTCACCGCCCCTCCCCTCCCCACCGACCCACTGGGAAAGTTTCCTGAAAAAAACAAAAGCCTATAATTGAACATGAAATAACTCCATACTTTAAAAACACTGAAATAAATACCACCCTCACCTAGCAACGACTGTCCTCACCGAAATAATACAAGTGAACTCACTACAAGTGATAAATTATTATACTCACCGGAAACTTGAACAGTAGGTTTAAAAAACACAAACAAAAGTAACAGCATCAGCACCAAGCCCCGGCCACGTGGGGACCATACTACCTTCTCCATGCTGAACCAGTCTTGCTGCCCTGTTTACTAGAAAAAACTTTAAACAAAGAAAAAAACCCAAATAAAACTAACAACTAATAGGTATTGCCTTGGAGCTGTCTGGCCCAAGACTGGTGACCCTACTCCCCCACCAACCAAACACCTTAACTTTTGCCGCCGTTCAAGAAGGTTGAATCTCGTTCCCATCCGACTCGGTGAATGAGTCGAGACCCCAAGCGTTTCGTCACCAGGGAATGGTCGTTTGGTAGTTAAAATACGTAAACATCCATACAAATATGATTCCTTTTGATATGTACAGGCTCTTCAAATCTGCAATTGGGCTCTAGCATTAGACCGTATTAAGCTCTTACAGCTCTTATAGCAACTATGTATAACAAAACTTAATAAAAGGATGGTACTATTATGATTAAGATTATTCAACAACAGATAGATATTAAGAGAGATAATCACTTTTGATTAACTCCTTATAGTCAGTCCTTTTCTAATATATTCAGTGATATCAAATACCGAACGCTTATAAGATAATTTTATTTCTCGTGACTTCCCAATAAATTATTATTTTGTTGACGGCTATTGCTTAGAGGGACTAATTTATACAGGTTGGGTCCAAAAAATTACCCGTTTAATCCAAATAGGGGAATATTTTGTGCAAAGGTAACAATTCGGAATTGTTCATTAATAGTAAATATTAGTTTAATATAAATTAATATTTGCATAGTTACGATTAATTTTATGTGCAGATTTCCCCTATTAACCTTTATGAAAGTGTAATTTTACGGAATAGGGTATCTGCATTCCATAATTAAAGAGGACTTTTTTGGGGCACATGCTAGGAAATGAGCGCACCAGGTGTCTCTCATAGACAACAGATGGCGCTTCGCTCAGCTGCTGTCCGAAGCTGCTTCATATCCAACAACCATCACCAAAAACTATATACGAAACATAGGAAAGCGACTATCCCTACCATTAAGAAAGATGTGCGGTCTGAATCTATTTCAGCGCCATCTAGTGAGCTGGCGTATCACTATGCGGAGCATCATTTTAACGGTTGCTAATGTCTAAATTTTTCATATGGAATATGCTTAAGATATGTTAATATAACCAATTTTTTATTTTATCCACATAATACACATGAAATGTATAAATTAGTGGTTCTTCTTGCTGTGTTATATAACAAGTAACTGGAAGAATTGTTACTCCCTTTAACTTTTATTCATGTTTGGGACACATTTCTGCATATTTTGTGTGAATCATAAAAATATCCTATTTCATGTATTCATTTAAGTAACTTAATGCCATCTCATTTTATATGCTTTAGAATATAAAGTAACAGTCAAGGTGAAGGATACACATAAATAGTTTTATGGTTTATTTTCCAAAAAAAAATATATAAATATATAAATGTGAATCATGAAATAAAGTCTACAGACATATACATATGCAAACATATTTATTTGCCTAAGCTGCTTCACCCAAACCTTTTCAAGTCTCCAACTACATCCTTTATACCTCTTTCCGTTCTAAGGGAGGTGTATGCGTCGACTGCAACGGACGTACCCCTATAGCTCGACTCACGGATCTTGAATCTTCTCTTTATGATGTCATCTGCCTCAAAATATCTCTACTTACTGTAACTACTTTTCTTTCTTTCCTATACTGTTCTTCCAACTTTACCAGCTTTTTCGAACTCTTTGACTATCTCACTTCTTGCCATGAGTCGTTGCTATCCACACACTCCAACACCGAGATCCTCTACCTAGGAGTTTTCAATGTCTGTACATCACAGAGAGTGGCTTGGCTCTGCAAGGGATGACCCACGTGGAGATGACGCACTCTCTTTTTCTTTACTTAATGATTTGGAACAAATAATCAAACACCCTACAAGCATTCCTGATCGACACGATCAACTTGCTAACACTCTTGATCTTTGTTTTTAACCCCTCACACTATTCATACTCAATTTCTGTCCCCTTAGGGTCTTCTGATCACAACCTTATTTCTATTAAATCAAACTGGGAACGACCACCTCCCCCAACCCCCTCTAAACGTCAACTATGGCACTATCGGAGGGCAAGCTGGCAATCCTTGCGAGAATTCTTCACCGACTTTCCTTGGAATGAATGTTGCTTTTCCAATCGGGACGCCTCGGTATGTGCTGACAGCATTCCTGTGGTTATACAGGGTGGTATGAGTGCATTTATCTCATCTTCTACCAAAACTTTCACATTGCAATCATGGTTTGATCGCTCCTGCTCTCTTGCTTGCAGGGTGAGAGATAGGGCATATCGAGCTATGAAACTATCTCCTTCTCCTTTTACCCACACCTCTTCCATTACTTCTAGGAATCGTTGTAAGGCTTCGTAGGGCCAAGCGGAATTTTATAAAAAAAAAATACTGTTGTCCTGATTAATTCTTCCACCAGTAATTCCTTTTGGTCCTTAACCAAAAACATCTGTAACAACTTCTGCACTGCTTCTTTTCCTCCTCTCTTCCGACCTGATAACTCTATAGCCAACTCTCCCCCTGACAAAGCCAATCTCTTTGGCACCTTATTCTCCACTAATTCCACCTTAGACGATTCCTACTCTATCTCTCCTACTCCTGCTCCCCCTACTAAACATATGCACTTTCCTATAATCTCCACTCGCAGGGTTGCCGGTGTGTTATCCAGGTTGGATGTGAGCTCTGGCCCCTGTGCTTGCTCGCCTGTTTCGCCTCTGCCTCAAAACCCAAACTTTTCCTTCTTCTTGGAAGCATGCCTTGGTTCAGCCCATCCCGAAGAAGGGTGAACATTCTAGTCCCTCTAACTATCGCCCCAGTGCCCTAACTTCATCCCTCTCTAAGATTTTTGAAACTATCTTGAACTCCCATTTTCTCCGTCACCTTGAACGCCATTCTCTTTTTTTCACACTACAACTAATTCTAACCATTCTTACGCTGATGAATCTACTCTTTACTCCTCTTCACATTACCTCTTCCTCCTAACTCCCATACTAGATCTGTTTCTAGAGCTGATATCATTACCCCTATCAATGCGGATCTGTGCAGCATCTCTGAATGGAGATCTACAAACTTGGTTAAATTCATTAATAATATAACTCAATATTTACCAATTACACTTTCTAAATTAGACAATCTCCCACCAATTACATTTCAGGACGCTATCATCCTGCCAAATTCTGAAATAAATATGTTAGGCCTCACCATTTCCTCCAATGTCATGGAAATCAGACATCCTTCTTAATGTAGCTAAAGCTGCCTCCCGAAAGTTGGAAATGTTGCAAAGATGCCGTAGCTGCTTCGCTCCTGAGCATTTGCTCCAAGTATATAAGGGATTCATTCGCCTAAATTGGGGTACTGCTCTCATATCTGGGGTGGCTCTTCTTCTTTCCAACTGTTAGATAGGGTATCAAAGGCATTTCGTCCTATTAACTCTCCTCCTTTAATCGACAATCTCTCTGCCCTTTCTCTTCGCCGCAACGGGCAATGTTCGGTGAATTTGGCATCCTGTGTACCGCCGGCAAGGCCACACGTCTTGCCCGCGGTGCCCACCGTTTCACTGTGGATGTCGGTCACGAGAATAACCCGTTATAGTACCTCCTTCTTTCCTCACGCAGCCAAACTGTGGAATGCTCTACCTTCTGTGTTTGGATACTTATACTCACTTTAAAAAGCTGGTTTTCCGGCATCTTCGTGGTGTAGATTAACACAGTATAACCTCTTTTTTCTCTATTTTCAATTTATTTCTGTTCTTATTTTTCCGCCCTCCGGGCCCCGTTGTTGGTCGTTTGACCTGTGCCCGGGTGGGCTAATTCCCGTAAAACAAAAAATCAATGATTTAAAAACCACACACCGTTAATTAAGCACCACATGCAAGCCTAATGGAGCTTTTTGTATTAAATGTGAGGATTATCATAACAAAACATACCATAACAAAATAACACAAAAAAGAACAAACTTACGTAGGAAAGGAACCCCAAAAAAGTATACTTTTGTTACAAAAAGAACAAAATCATAAACATATTTTTTTATATTACATATGACAAAAACAACAATAATTTGCAAAGGAAAGAATAAATAACATGCAGAA